TTGTGGTGATTTTGGTTTTGATTTTGTTCTTTACCTAAAGAAAAATTTTAAAATACCAATTCACCCCCGCCCCTTTTAGTTAGTCTCAAGCTAGTTCTTAAGGGCTTAACATCCTTAACAAACTTTCAATAGTATGATTTGTTTAAAAAATTATAAATTTTTACACTCCCCCAATATGGCTGAGCATAGTTATCAAATTACATTCACACTCTCTTAGTCTCAAGAAAGTATAAAGAGTATAGTCTTCAAAAAAAGTAAATCCTAATCTAATTTGACTTGAAGTCTTCAGCAGTTTGGAGTATGATTTTCTTGAAAAGTTAGTACAAACAAACAAAAAAAAAATATTTCCAATATACGTTAGGAGAAATAGTAGTCAATACAATAATATTTTGGAATCATAAAAAAAACACATGATTTGAAAGCAGTTATGAAAATTAAGTTGTAATAAACTCCCCCTTTGTTATGATGATAAAATAATTATTTTTTGAGCTAAATTTAAAATGATTTTTCTCCTTAGCTCCCCCTAAATGAATGGCCAACTAAATAACAAGGGGATTCCCATAAAGATAAAAAACAACAAACCCAAAAACTAAAAAGAAACCAATTCAAAAACAATTCGAACAAAAACACAAACATGGACGAACATTCAAAAAATACATTCAAAACATACACACATGCACTTAAAACATACACTTTCACGAACATCAATCATCAAATAATATTCTGACCCCCTTTTGACAACAACAAAAAGGGAAGTACGTCTTGAAATGAATGGTTTTTATAGATAAACCAAAAGAGTTGAATCAGAAAATAATTTTAAACTAATTGCAAATACACTTTTAATTTTGTAAAACTAAAAAGAAAATTTTCAAAATTTTAAATTAAAAAATAACTAAGATAAGAAAAGTCAACCAAGTTCATTTTTCAAGCTATACAAATTAAATAAAAATGATTATTGTAAAAATGATGAAATGAAAATTAGTTAACTTTGAATTCAATATTATATATGATTGTCAATTAGATAGATTTGGATTTGAGATTGGATGATAAAGAAAAGAACACTATAAATGCTTTCAATTGGTGTCATTGTACGTCTTTTCAAATTTTCTATTTTGACTAATTTTGTGCCTATTTTCACTTTGCAAACCATTGTGCATCTTTTCTATTTTTGCACTCTTTGTGCATTTCCTTTTTTTTTTCTTTTTGGATCTTTTCAGTATAAGTATTCTAAATTCAAATTTCACTAAAAACAAAAATAAACATTTTGAAAAAAAATAAAAAATAATAATACATCAATCTTACAAGAATTATAGTTTAGATATGCTTTTCTATAGAAACATGAAATTGATCTCCTTTTCTACATGCTGTTATAATGTAATTTAAACTTTTGAAAAAAAAAATTACAAGGAAATTAATTTGTAGAGAAATATAATTGAGAATCCATTCCAATGATCAACTATAAAAGATTTTACAATTAAAAAAAACATAAACATTTCAAAAGATACAATTCAATGCAAGTGAATAAAATATTTCAATATTCCATTAATATCAAGAGCGCATAATAACATATGTCTCAAAATATATCATCTCAATATAACATCTCACATCACATCATTAATACAAAATCATCACAACCTATGAAAATACTAAACTCAAGAAGAAACATCACAATACAAAATACAAAAACTCATAAGCAACTACAGGATAGAAGTACAATAGTCTGTAGGGCCCTAGTATGGAGGAGGTGGTGGATTGAATGTTGAAAAATAACAACTGATTGTAGCTACATTAATGTTCATCGAGTCAAACTATCCTTTGATCCAACCCATATCTTCATTATAATGAGTATCCTGTTGGTTAAGGTGATTCTTATTTTGATTAAAAAGTTATTCAAAATGAGTTTCCAATCGATCAAAGTGTTGGACCATTTCCTGGTAGTAGTTTTAGTCAGGTCTAGGTGCAGCTGCTAGAGCAGGAGCTCCCCCTCCTTTCACTGAATCATCACTCTCAGAACTCTGATCTCTCCTAAAAGTTCTCTAAAAGAGGCATCAGTGAAGTAAATAGGAAGTTCTATGGGAGGATCATGATGAATCAGATTATACTTCTTTTCTAGGATGAAGGCAACTAGGTGTCCTAAAGCCACATTTTTCTTCCTCTTATGATGTTGAAGTCCAATTTTAGAAAGATTATAAATATATTCCATAATGAGTTGGGCTTCATCAATGGGCTTTTCATTCATAATCAGATAGTTGATTGTGGACAAAAGTAAAGTCATATTTATGTGATCATCGGCTTTAGGGATAATCATAGTTCTCAAAATATATTGGATGATCCAAGCTTTTTGATTTAGAGTGTAAAACCTATACAAATGACCCACTTGAGATGCACCTCTAAGAGTTTAATTAATTCTATCCAATCAAAATCAGCTCTTGAGGTTAAAGTGTGGGCTTGAATCCATTGGGTTCTCAGATGAAGAAAATTGCCTAAATCTTCCTTAATAATTTCTACTTGTTGTTTTTGAACAAAGGAAGTAATCCAAGATTGGTCCTCATTAACTCCCATATTGGCCAAGAAGTACTAGAAAGTCTCTTTGTGGCAGGCATAAATGAGAGTAAGAATGAAAGAAACTTGAGTTGAAGCAAATAAGGGCATGAAATAAAAGTGAAGATCACCCTAAATGAGAAGTCTAAAAGGGGTGATTTTGGTAACAAAATATCTAAAATATGCATCCTCATTTTCCTTAGATAAAAATTTTTCATCGCTATTTCTTCTAGAAGAAGAACCCTTAAAAAGATGGGGTCGTTTGCTTGAACTTGGCATTTCTATGATGAGGGCTCTAGAGGATTTGAAATGGATATGAAATTGAATGAAAAATGATTTAAAAGACACTTCTAGTTAAAGGAAAATAACCTATCATACACTACAAAACAAGAATCATACATATGATTTTAAAACCATATGGAACGAAAATATTTTCGTACGTATGAATGGAAATGGCCAAAAATGAAATGGCTTTTCGTAAAATGCCATTTCCGAGGTGTCCACTCGTAAAGGCTTTTTTATCATATGATTGTATAGAAGAACAGGTGTTCATCCAGGATGATCAAAATATTAAATATCATTTTAAATATGGTTAGAGTCATCCCCCACATAGACTAAAAAATTGATCGTAAAGACAAAATATGATTTCATACGTACAATCAGTAATTAATAACTGACTCCAACAGATAAACCGCCCCCATGCGTATTGATAAAACTATACATATCATACAATATGAGGATGTCATTGTACAGTACAAAATCTATAAAAAATTATATTTTGTGTGGTCAACTCCGAAATGTACCATGCACATGCTACAATTCATACATGATGAAAACATTTCTTACAGTACGAATATAACACTTAGAAAATAAGTCATGATAATCATAAAATTATCTCGAAACCAATCATTTTTTCATCAACTGTCATGCTTCACAGTAAAAATAAAAAGAAAAAGAAAATGAAAAATACACAACCAAACACATAAGACACATATTTATAACACATCAAGTTTGCATAATTTTTAATTTAAGCATTAAGATCAATCACACATACCTGGTTCTTAAGGTGCTAAAAGTATCAAAGGCTACTGGTTTTATAAAAATATCTGCAAGTTGATTTTCCGTAATAATGCGATTCAATTCAATCTCTCCTTTAGCTATATGATGTCTAATGAAGTGATGCATTATGTCTATATGCTTTGTTCCAGAATGTTGAATAGGATTTTTTGAAATGCATATAACACTATTATTATCACAAAAAATTAAAATTTTTGCGATAAAAAATCTTAAATCAATCAACTATTATTTCAACCAATGAACTTGTGCCACACAACTACCTAAGGTAATGCATTCAACTTCAGTAGTATATATGCCTACTAAATTTTATTTTCTACTAAACCAAGAAACTAAAGAGTTTCCTATGAATTGACAAGTTGTAGATGTAGTTTTTTGATCAATCTTATAACCGATAAAACTTGAATTAAAATATCAAACAATTTCGAACGAAGAGCTGTGCTTAGGATACCAAATCTCTAAGTTTTCAGTTTCCAAAAGATATCTCAGAATTTTTTTCACTTCTATCAAATGTGATTCTTTTGAATAAGATTGAAATCTAGCACACAAATAAACACTAAACATTATATCTTTTTTTTTTAATCAAGAAAGCTGAAGAGCTTTTATTAATAGAAAGAAAAAACTGCTTTACACTCTGCAAGCATCCTACTCCTTCCGGAAGGAGGGATATAACTTAAAGTACATCATTCTAAAGAAAAGAACTAAAGCATGCATAGTTATCACATAGATCAACTAAATTTTTGCTCCCCCTATCTACACAGTACAAAACAACAAAATGAAAATCTTTAATAAAAGAGAGGTCTATAGAATCATTACCACTTTTCTCCACCACTCCTTTTATGAATTTGATCACATTCATGTTGTCCCATTTAATGATTAGACTTTTGTAGTCTAACATCCATTCTTTAATCACAAGCTTAATAGCAAGGATGGATTTAAGTTCTAAAGTTGATGCATCCCAGTGAATAAGAGACTTGCCAAAAGCTAATAAGAACCTCTCATAGTGATCTCTAAAAACTCCACCGATCCTAGCCTTGTAGGAATTGTGTAGAGCTGCATCTATGTTTACTTTGATCCAATCAGGTGGAGGAGAATGCCAAGAGTTTAGCAACCTATGAGGTTGAATAGCACTCTCGATTCCTGAATTTGAGTAGCTGGAAATTTTTAAGACCGCTGTACTACATACTGCATTAGAAGCAGTCATCACCGGACAGTAGATTTTCCCCTCATGAACACATATATTTCTTGTCTTCCAGGAATAGTAGAATGTGTTACAAAATAAAATCATCATCCATGAGTTTTGCGAATCCGGCCACTCATTATAAGCTTCAATGGAATGAAATTCAGGAATACCGAACCCCCATTTGTTCAAAACTTCCATTACCTCAATTATCTTCCTGCATCCAAAAAATAATGTGATCAATCTCCTCAACCTCCTCACACCCTCTAGGACACTTATCAAACCCTTCTAATCTTCTATAACAGAGAAACTGGTTAGTTGGGATGGCATTATTGATCAACCTCCACCAAAATAACCTCTCTATCGGATTTAATTTTCCCCTCCCAAACCATTTCCAAGAAACAATCTCTTTTTTACCTGGTTCCATTGCTTCAATGGCGAGAGCTACTATAGTTTTACTCGAAAGATTATGTATGAGCTCTATACGATCTTCACCCAAATCATTCTGTATATTAATGGAGGTGATCAGACTAAGCAATTCTTCCCCGAAGAACTCCTTCAACTTGATCATGTTCCAGACTCCATCACATATGAAACTATCCACTATTAAGTTGCCACCTTCAATTGGGTTGACAAAAGTAGGCCAATTCAGCAAACTTTTATCCAAAACACAAATGTCTTCAAAAGCATTGATAACTTTACCAATGCCAACTGTCCACCTGATAATTAGTCTCAAGAATTCACCTCCATTACATATCAATTTCGATGAAACTAAACCATTTCTCTTAGCTATTTCTTCCTTAAGAATTGGCCCGAATTTAGGAAACAAGAACTTATGCATAAGTGACTCCTCTTGAATATACCTCCATGCTAACTTGGCTATCAAAGTCCCAGTTTTCTTTGAGCAGAAGTTGATGCCTAGTCCTGCCCATCTTCTCAATTTGCACATTAAGTCCCAACTAACATAGTGAAGACCTACAGTCCCATCACTTTTATTCCAAATGTATTTCCTGCATAGCTTATCAACTTCGTATAGAACTTTCTTGGGAACCATTGAAAGGGTAGAATGATAAGTTGAGTAAGATAATAAAACAGATTTGACCAAAGAAATCCTTCTAGCAAGGGAGATGAGCTTACCACCCCAAACGCCTGGCATGCTCATAGCTTTGTTAATAATAAATTTGAAGTCTACTTTAGACAACCTCCTCAAAGTCACCTTGATTCCCAAATAATTAAATTCTTTAACTTCCCTGAAATACAAGGAATTACATATCTTCTTCCTCCTCCTTTCTTCACCGATTTTCCAAAATGGATGCAAGATTTTTGCAAATTCACCCTTTGTCCCGTCCACCCACAAAAGTCCAAAAGAATTTCTTTAACAATCTTAACCGATTTTAATTGAGCATTGGAGAAAATAATGTTGTTGTCGGAATATAATAAATGAGATATCTTAGGCCTATTTGAAGAAATACTAACCCCTATAGATCTTCCTTTGTGTAAGAAGGCGTTTGAAAGAAGTTGTGCACACATCACAAACAAAAAAGGAGATAGAGGGCATCCTTGATGGAATCCACTCTTTGCTTCAATCCACTTTGAGTAGGAACCCTTAATAAGAAGAGAAAACTTATGGCCAGTGACGCATTCAACTATTAAATTGGCATAACAGATTGGTAATTCAAAATAATCCAAAATTGTAATCAAAGTCGGCCACCCCATGGAGTCATAACCTTGCCCCCATATCAATTTTGAAGGATACCAACCCCTTGGAGGATTTGGAATGCCTAAATTTGTGAAAAATTTCTTGTGCCACTAGTACATCATCCGAGAGAGATCTACCTCTCATAAAAGCCACTTGTTCCACAGAAATAATTTTAGGGATCACAAACAAAAGTCTATTAAAAACCATCTTAGCCACTATCTTATAGACCGAATTGCATAAGCTTATGGGTCTATAGGTTGAGGGAGATAAAGGAGTTTTGACTTTAGGAATCAAAACTATGTTAGTAACTTTCCAACTATCATTCATCTTACCATACTCAAAAAATTGATCCATAGCTTTCCATAAATCAAGTTTGATGATATGCTAATACTGTTTAAAAAAAGAGTAAGTCATACCATCTTTACCCGGTGCAATGTTTCTCCCTAGCTACTTGATAACCTCCTCAAATTCTTGAAACGTAAATTTTCTGCTCAGCATTCTTTTCTCTTCATCATTCAAAGCTATCAAAGTTGAAAGCCATCCCTCCAGATCACAATTCTTGTCCTCCCATTTATTGCTATAATACCAGAACAACACCTCCTCAACTTCTTTTTGATCTTCTACTATCAAGCCTAGTTCATTTATGATTTTATGAATGTAGTTAGCATTCATCCTAGCACTTGCATAAGCTTGGAAGAATTTTGAATTTGAATCCCCTTCTACCATCCACTTCACCTTGGCTCGCTGTATCCACCATGTGCTAAGCCGAGCCATTACAGAATTTAGCTCTTCCATTTTTCCTTTTAGGACCCACTGAACCACCTCTAGAATGATCCCGTCCTCAGTTTCCAATTCCTGCAGTCTCAAAACTTCTATTTTCAGCTCCTCTTTAGATAAGTTCAATGCCTTGAATTTAGCCTTGCTCCAGAAGTGAAGATCCTTTAATGTCCTATTCAGCTTTTGGTTTAGAGCTTGAGAAGGATCTCCCCTAGTTTTTCTCTTCCAGGATTCTCTCACAACAGCTACAGACACTGGAATTGAAATCCATACCTGTTCAAATCTTAATACCTTCTTGTTTGGAGGGGTGAAATCCAACAAATTTAACAAAATCGGTCAATGGTGCGAAGCCATCCTCGCCAAATGCCTCACCATAAGTCTATGAGAATAATTAAAGTTTATTGCATTAACTAGGCATCTATCGAGCTTCTCAAGCATTCTCTCAGCTCGTCTCTTGTTATTACACCAAGTATACTTGGGCCCAACACAAGCCACCTCGTGCAAATCATTGCACATGATAGAAGTCTTCATCTCCTTCGATCCCATGCCAAAAACAAAATCACTTCCCCCTTCTTTTTCCTCCTGTAACAGCAAACAGTTAAAGTCAACCCATATAATCATGGGGAAGTCTTCTATCATGTGATACTCCAATCTATCCCAAAGATTACTCCTCTTATATACGTCTTTGTTACCATAGATTGTTTCAATTCTCCGTGTGCCCCTATTGATCACATTGAGATCGCCTATAAGTATTTGGGATGAAGCTTCCAGCATGTTGAAAGTGGCCAAACCTTGCCTCCATATTACCAAAATCCCTCCTGAGAGGCCTTCTGATGGAACATGATAAAAATGCCATCCTTCTCCAACCATTGTACTAACAACCATCTTATCTACAACAGTAAGCTTAACTTCCACCAAGCCTAGGAAGAACAATCCATACTCCCTAATGAACTCCCTTGTATATAAAGAATCTTTAGTCTTTCTTGCTCCTCTACAGTTCCAAAAACCAATGGACGACATTAATGATCCAAGGGGAAAAGGTTCCCCACCCTTGCCTTTACTTCTCCTTCCAATTTCCTTCTTCTTGGAATCAGCTTAATGGGACCTAAACCCTTTAATTGCTTAGCTCCTTTTTTTTTCACTTTGCTGGACCCTTCCTCTGCATGACTAGAATGAGCCTTCAAATGATCGACTACAATGACTCTTCATTAACTCTGCCTGCTTTGATAGATCCTGAAGCTATAATCGGTTCAGGAGCCTTATCTTTATTGCCAATTATTTCTCCCTCCTCCTCTAAGTTGTTTAAGACTTCATAATGATTGAAATTACATAGGATGTCATTAGATTTCAATCCAATGACCTTTTTACTTCCAACTGCATTAACTTTTTGATCACCAATGTCACTAATAGGAGGAACCAAAGCCTCCTCTGATAGCTTCTCCACACAACTATAATTGTCATTCCTCTGGTTCACATTTTTCTCTAGCTCTACTTGGCTATCTGCTCCAGCTTTATTTAACTTCCTTTCTGAATTTGATTGCTGAGACCACTTATTTTGAAATCTGTAGATTTTCCCTCTCTTCCTCCCACAGTCCACATCTATCCATGGACCATAAATATCTTCCTTGGCTTTGAAAACTTCTTTCTCCATAGGATTATCCCTTGAAATCTCCCTCATTCTTGCTGCTCCTCCTTTCTCGGACCCAACAACGGATTTATTTAGAGCTAAGACATGTTCCTCATCGCTCACCTGATAGAATTTCTCCAAATGTCCAATCTTACCACATTTGAAGCAAGCATTTGGCATTTTTTCATAACAGACTTTTTGATAAAACTTGCCCAAGGAACCTTCAACCCGAACTCCTAACGGTATCTTGCCTTCCAACTTGATTCTAACACATACCCTAAAAAACTCGTGCCTCCAACATTTAAACATGTTTTCATCTATCAGAAAAGGAGTACAAACCTTCGATGCAATCCTATAAACAATAATTCTATCCTAGCTTTGTAGAGGGAGGTTTGGAAGCTTAATCCATACTGGTTCCATCAATCCTTTCAAAGAAGAGGGATGAAAATTAGGGACCTTTTCTCTAGACCGATGATTCTTCCATTTACGTACCAGGGTCCACTATTTAGTAATGAATCCATAGCTTCTTGCACATAAGACCCAGCCACCACCTAACAATGTCATATGGAATCTACCATACTGATTCCACTGTCACCTTATCTCCGAACCAATGACATGGTAAGGAGAACTGTCGCCAAAAATCTTAACAACCAGAGATTTTTGCAATATTTCTGAGTTTTCAGACTCACTTTGCTGATGAAGTTTCACTACTCCATCTTCAATAAAATCCTTCCCATAATAAAAATCGATTATTTTAATATTCGGCTTCATATTCCAGGCATTCACCAATGATTTGCTCAGTTGAGGAGGGATGACGGACTCCATGCCTTCCTTAGTTTTACAATTTCCCAACATTGCTGATTCACAAACTCAAACATTCTCAAGGTCTTTCTCCTCTTGCTGGACTTCATGAACAACATCTCCATCTTTGTGCATCTCCATGACCATACCACCAGTTCCACCCAACGAGATCTCATTCATGTCCTTCAGCTTGTTAAAACCAGATGAGGAACCCTTCAAAGATTCCAATATTTCTTATGTAGCCACATCTCAGCTATCTTTACGAACTGCCATCACTTCACTATGACCGAAATCCTTGTGTACATTGCTAGATTCATCGAACATAATTTTCTTTCCTTTGCCAATGCATTCCAACTATTTCTTTGGAGATTGATGACCTTCCCTCATTAATCACCAGAGGTTTAGCAGGTTTAAACCTCAAATTGGACTCCCGATCAAACACCATCTTAGAGTCACTAAAAGCAAGGGGAGAAACACTTTAGTTGATGCGAGGAAGAATCCTAACTGCAGATGATACAGGGAGATGACTGTCACCGACGCTAGAGGAAGGAGGTCGCCGTCCTTCTACTGCCATCGGAGGCGATAGTAAATTACAGGAATTCATAACTTCAAAATTCCGTTAGCTTCTCTATCTAAAAATGTGGAGATTCTCTCTCTAAACATTATATTTAGTCTTATAGCATTCAAGTAAATTAATGATTTAATTATACCTATAAAAGTTTTTTTATCAACAGATTTTCCCTTAGAGTCTTTATCTAATTGAACTAAGGAAATCATAGCTGTAGTCACTGGTTTAGCATTATATATTTCATATTTCTTAAGGATGTCCTTAATATACTTCGACAGACTAAGAAAAGTTCCTTTTTTATTTTTCTTTATGCTAAAATTAAGAAAATAACACAAATTTCCCATTAAACTCAGCTCAAATTCACTACTCATTATTTTTGAAAAATTATCACAAAGATTTTTATTTATAGATCAAAATATGGTGTCATCAATATATATTTGAACAATGAATATATCATCTCCTATCTTCTTAAAAAGAGTATGGTGTCCACATTTCCTTTCAAAAAAGATCTCTCTAATAGGAAAGTGGTTAACCTCTCATACAAGGCCATATGTTTCTATTTTAATCTATACGATGTCTTTTTCAATTTAAATACTTGATTATGGAATTTAGAATTTATAAAACCTGGAGATTGCTCAACTTAAATATCCTCTTATATCACCCCATTCAAAAAGGCACTCTTGATATTCC